GCTTCGCCCACAAAAACGGTAATTCAGGACATAGGTATGCCATACTCGCTGGCATATGAAGTACGAGCGATGATGGTACCTATAGTGTGCGTGGCCCGTGACAATGCGCCCAACGTTTGACACATTCGATTGAGGTTAAAGATGGCAAAGCACTACATACAGAACACGCACGATGAAATGGATATGAAAATGTACGTTCACACTCCAGTATACTACACATCACAACATAACATGAACCCCTCACGAGACCTTCTCGTGCATATGGCAGGGAGGGTATCATTAACTATGCTCGTCATTTGCATGATATTAGATAGACAGTTCCTTGTACTTCGCAGCACACAGTGTCCAAGTAATTCCCACTATGCCATAATACCATACACAGCCAATGACGGAAAGAACGAACCCAAAAAGCGGTAAATAACGTTGTCAACAGCAGCCTCGCATGTACCATCTCTCCGTCCACGCACCCACCGATACAAACATGCAGCAACACTTACCAGGGGTATGGACATCAACGGCCAATCCGACTGTATTCGCATAGCGCACGGTAGTGCCAATGTCCTCACTCAGGAGTTTCTTGGCCTCCGCATTGATGAGAGCCATGAAGTTCTCCTTGTCAGCTGGGTCAACCTTCCCCTTGTACTCCACAAATAGGTTGTCGGCCGAGTGGTTTCCCTGAGGGTGGCACATTGCGAGGCCCAGCAGCACACAGTATCAGAGCATTGCGATTGGATAGCTAGGCTAGGTATCGGGATGCCACGCAGCACTACACTGCCCACAGTTCTTGTCGCTGGCCGAGATAGCGTCGACTTTGCAGTCTCACAAATGCGAATAAACAGCCGACCGGAGTGCTGACAGGAAGAGCGACAGGTATGTACCAAACATTCACACCTCGTACGAACAGTGATTGCGTCAGTATCCAGCATATAAATTATCACCTGATACAAACCACCACGGGCACAACAATAGTGATACACAGCCGCGGAGAATAATCACATTGCATCCCTTGAGGTACTTCCGTCACTTCGGAGATCTCAGATAGGGGCATGGGCCTCCAATGGGCCTTACTACACAAACACTTTATACTACACACACACACTATACTACACAAACACTTTATAATCCACACACACTCTATACTACACAAACACTTTATACTACACATACACTCTATACTACACAAACACTCTATACTACACACACACCCTATACTACACAAACACTTTATACTACACACACACACTATACTACACAGGTAGCGTACACTACACAAGACAGTCTGAATCCCAGCCACAGCACATACCTTCGTAGGCACAAGCGAGGTGTAGCCAGCATTCCGCACGGCCGTATCAAGCATATGGCCACCACTGCGGTCACAAGGGAGTACAGATCAAGAGCTGTTCACAAGCAAAGCAAATAAAGGCAAGGCAAGGATAGGCCAGTAGGGTGACAGATCTCTTGGGAATTGGAAGTAGTACAGAGTGCTGTGCATATATCGACTACTAGCACAGTAACTCTGAGCGATGCTCCTGTACCACACACCTGTGCATGCGAGCGTTCTGTTTGCGTTTGTCCGCGTCCACTGATATCGTCACTCGCCGTCCAGCGGGGAAGCACGTGCCCTCCAAGAACTTTCCTGTTGACGTATGTGGAAGGAAGTACAACTGGTTAATGATGGTATAATCAACAAACTATACTCTATACGAATATGTGTCGATATGTACCTGATTTGAGACGGCGCAATCAACTCCACTACGTTTGCACATTTGATCAACGTATGAGTGGCAATTACATAATCATGACTGTTAAGATGGTATTTGAGCGGACACATTACATTGCTAGACAAAAATCAACCCAGATTTGGGATTGAACAATTTTCATCTCGAACTTGTCAGGTATAATGCCTTGTCGATGACAGACAAGTAAATGGCCGTCATATATATAATGTATAAATATGAATACATGTAATTTAAATATATTGAACATATTCAATATAATAAATAAATTAAAATAACCGTAGTGAATATATATATATATATATATATATATATATATATATACTATAATAAGTAAGAAAGTAATAAATTAACAAAGAATAAAAGAATATAGAGCAATATGAATATGATCGATATATTGTATACATATATGAATAGTAGTTCAATATATTTGAATATATATATATATGTGTGTGTGTGTGTTTGTGTGTGTGTGTGTGTGTGTGTGACTATAAAGAATATAAATATATACGAAGAATATATTGAATATAATAAATAGAACGAACATGTACGAATAATAATCATGTACGAATAATAATCAAAAATGAATATACATATCAATAGAATAAAATTAGTCAGATTACATCCACACAAGCGCAAAAAAATCATCAAAAACTCGAGTTGCTTCCGTTGCATACTACTGTGAGTGTTTGTTCTTTTGTCGATGCCAGTTAATTTATAATTCTTATATAACCAATACGCAAGACCATCTAACACTACAATCCGTGAGTTATAAATTGCCTACCTTTGTAAGTGGTTGTGATAGCTTCCGTATCGATGCCCGTTTCAAAGGAATCTTGAGTAGCTTCCTCTTGTGAACACCATACACGAGTATCTGACACTTGCACCTGTGATTCATAAGTTGCTTACCTTTGTGAGTGATTATATTCGTTTCCTTGTCGATGCCGGTGAACGTCACCTCGAACTTTGCCTCGTCGCCTGTGATCATGCCGGAGTCGGCCGGCTGACCTCCTGAAACGAAGGATACAACGTGCATTGTTCATTGTCCCTAGCGGAGTCACCAGCAAATCATTAAATAACAAGCAAGTACAGAGTCGGTAGTATGGTTCCATTCGCAGGTTCAACTAGAAATATACCAACACGCACGTGCAAAATTTGGTCAAATTTACGTATGTTTACATATTCGAGACTACATGTAGATGTTGCCACCTTCTATACTATTTTCTTCAGGTTTCACACAAATTACGCAGCATCACATGCAATTGGACTACGCGGCGTCGTATGCAACTGGTGCAATCACAGGGCAGCTTGTACATCTCTTTACCTCCCTGAGGGTGCATGATAGTGGTTTCGAGCACAAGGTTGCAGAATCTTTCATCCTCCTCATCCGGAGTGCATTGGTTAACTATACCAGTCCATTCGAACAGATCGGTGTCTTCGAAGTACTTCTTGATTGTCGGTCCTCCTCCCGTCATGATTAGTAACTATAACTAAACGCGCCTTGTAAGAAACTGAATACACTACGCCTGTGTTATACTTATTACGTGGATATGACCCTCTAATCTCTATACTCTCTCTCTATACTCTCTCCCTCTCTCTCTATACTCTCTCCCTCTCTCTGTGTGTACACTATTATACTAAATATACTAATAAAATTAAAACTAGTAGTACCCCAGGGGCAGGGGCCAGAGATAAAACTAAAGCTGAAGTATGTCTGAACGGACAGGACTGAATATGTAAGTACGAGTAACGAGACTCGAACGTCCGAAATATTATACTTTTTTTTTACGTATAGACTATAGAAAGGCGGGTCAATTTGATATATACTCCGAATATTCCACACTCGGACGACGGACTCAGGGAACAGTCAGAGGGTACATTGGAGTAGTTGTGTGGATAAAAATAGAACCGCATCGAACTCATATTGTACCTCAGTTATTACAAGCTACAGCAACAGTGTACAACGGTGCATAACTTCATACTCGATCAAACTATTATCAGAGAACAACTCCATTGAATCCCTCTTGAGGACACCGGACAGGACAGGACAGGACAGGACATGAACAAAATGTCCACACTGTCACACACACCCACACTGTCAGTCGTCAGAGAGAGAGAAAGGGGTACATCCTACATATAACTCAAAAAAAGTGTACTCTAAATATCTACAGTAATTGGAATCTCGAGTGTAAATTGTTATTTGTGTTATTGAAATTTGAAGGTATGCATTAAAAGGTGCGAGAGTGAGATATAACTTGAAGAAATCAAACCTTGTTATCTGTATATTTAGTGTCGCGATACGACTTTGAACCCACACAGCACCAAGTCACGAGGCAATAACGAAACGATGTTCTCTAAATACGATGGGGGAACTCCTTCCCCCTCCCAATAATCTGTGGTACAAACAGCAGACAACAGCTGAGTTCGACCTCCCTAATAAAGGATTTTACCCATGCATAGTTAGTACCAACAAAGGCATATATGCAGTAATGTATTGCCTTGATTGAACATAAATTGCTGCAAGTTAAGTGTATTCGGCGATGCTCTATATTAAGTCGTGATTTCGAACCGTTGCGAATTGGATAGCCGGACGCTTCAAATCAGAAAGCAGTTGTATTTTCTTACCCTACAGATAGTCTATACAACCTACAATCAAACTTCCAGCAGTCCTCTCTGAAGTATGTACAATTTGATTATATATATATATATATATATACGTACATCCTTATGCATATTTACATACATACATGCCTACAAACATACATACATACATACATACATACATATATACATACATACATACATTCATACATACACACACGCATACATACATACATACATACATACATACATACATATATATATATATATACATAACTTTCGCCTTCCAATTCGGAATAGGAACTCATTTTGATTGTGAATCATATTTGAGTACTTAAAACGGTGTCAGTATAAGCTATAGCTGTTCCTGAAAAATCATACAGATCATAGAAAAATATGCTAGATAGTTGAAACCATTGCCGGCTTCAGATGTGTATAAATTTACTCTCGCCATTAGGCACGTTCGCTTGCATCGCAAGCTGACTATCCAGATCCAGTTGTGCATTGATTTGTACGGTGCAATAGATAACCGACGCAAAGTTCCGATTACGACACGTCTGCCTTCCGGTCACACAAATACACTTGCATTTGAACGGGGGACTGTACGATCACTGGCCGATACTTATGCGGGGCTGCTAATACGATTTGCAAAGTCCAACATAAGGATCCGCGCTCATGTATGGTTTGCCACATGCTTGCGAAGATGCGTTCACGCACATCGTCTGATGCGAATACGGAATACAGTGACCCGTAAAGGCTATAGTTAAAGGTCAACATCGGTCTATACACCATCGACACCGATTGGCTATGCTATCCCCCACAGTGTGAAATTTAGATACATTGATGATGTCTGTAGCTTAACAGTTGCTGGATTTGAGATGAAGCATTCTTTGGTCAAGCTACATCGAACTATTCGAAACCCTACTGAAATAGGCATCATATCTTCGGAACATTGGCAAGCGGGGTTGCAGCACTCTACAGACGAGGCCCTTTAATTGGGGGCAGGTATGAATAGTAAGGCCCTGTCCATAGCCAATAGATCCAAAAATCGGGTATTAAGCCATTGGAATGGCTACTCAGACTAGATAAGGCTACACCCCTGGCAATAGTATACATGAAGTACCTGCTTGGTCGTTCTGATAATATGTCTACTGTCCTAAAAACCCCACATTTCGAATGCCTACAGTTGTCTTAAATTGAGATGTGCATAGACTGAGACTCGATGTAGATCCTGCAATAAACCATGCGCTGAACTCACCCACCCGCCCAGCAAGGAACACGCACACAACTCATTTAAAATTTATATTTATTGCATCATACGGTACAAGACCCTAACTCTCTACTGGCGGATCTGCTTCGCTGATGCCGGGTTCATAGTCGCTATAGACATGGGCGCCCTAGAGGTGAGGGATACATACATGGGGAGTGTTAGGACCTGGTCAACTACGGATCTATTTTGACGAAAGAAATATACTATACAGCTAAAACAATAACCCCTAAACAGCTGGTGTGACATACACATTGGTATATAAATAGCATAGGGTGAGCAAGTAAACAAACCACCTGGATGCCATAAATAGCGATAGACGATTAGGACAGATATATAGACAGGCCAACTCGTTAGATCTACCAGTCGAGCGTTTAACAACCAGGGCTCCTCATTGGCTGAAACTAGAAACTGTGATATGATCATGAATGCTATCGAGCTTCTCGGAAGCCATCCGACTTTGCCTGACATTTCGGGCGTCACGCAAGAACGCACGAACCAATGTACAGAGAGTGAATTGTATGAACCCTCAATCAAGAGATATCTGCCTATAAATGCACTCCCCGGATACAGTCTCTCAGCCAGCCGTAAACGTGCACCACCCAACTGAGTGGGTATCACAACGGCCGGAATATATATGTATGAGATATTACAAGGCAATGGCAATGGCGTGGTGTGATAGAGCATGCAGCTTTGCAGGTGATTGCGCCTACGGTTGACAACAAAGCATTCCTCAACAGCATGTGGCCATGGGGAATTCGCATAAGTGCCCCGTCCCTGTGGTCGTTTCAAGCCAAAAGCTCTGCCGCTTCATCACAGCACAACGAGACAGACCGAGTCGACCACGTACAGTGGCACTCATTCACTCCGGTACATTTGATTATAGCCCGTTATCCCAAGAAGCTATTCGTATATGTCTATCCTTCGTCGTTATAGTGGACTATACTTGCCAGATACACAACACACAATAGCTCACCACACATCTGCAGTGTATTATCCTAAATAGCAATTCGCATGTGTCTATTCTTCGACGTTATAATGTACTACACTTGCCAGATGCACAACACACAATAATATGTACACTGAAGCCCAAAGTCTACAGCAGATTTCAACACGCACCATTGTCCGATACTGCAGCCCCTTATCCCAACACACAATTTGTTTATATCGCGTCCAGACACTCTATAAACCTCATCACTTACATAATCCACAACAAGACCGACTGTAGCCTGCTAAGTCATACATAAACGCGTAACAACGCAGGACATCCACAAGCAGAGCTTACCACTCACCACTAACCAACACTGCAGTCCCTTAGCCCAGCTAGTCATCTGCGCATGTCCAGTCGTTAACCGCTATAGGGCTTGGCCTTCTGAACACCGCGCAAGCAAGCCTATACAGACAAAGTTGAAACCTATACAGACACAATTGAAACCTATACAGACATAATTCACACCTACACAGACAGTTGAAACCTATACAGGCACACGTGAAATCTATACAGACACAGTTGAAATCTATACAGACACAGTTGAAACCCACACAGACATTGTTCACACCTACACAGACAGTTGAAACCTATACAGACACAGTTGAACACCCACAGCCAGGCTCAGCACTCACCATCGTCCAGCACTGCAGCACATTGTCTTCAGACACAGTGCAGATGGTCCTCTCCTCGTCTGGGCTCCAATCAAAGTCGCTGATTTTCGCCGTGTGGCCTGAGTGGACAAACAGTAATTCTGGGGGACCCTCCGCTGCGTCGGCTGTGGTAGAGGGTTGGCCAAGTAACGCGTTGGGGGGATGGAATGAATCCTTGAGTAACCTAACCAGTAAAACGTTAAAATCTAAACCCTACAAACGGAATCACCCGTGAAGTAATATTTAAACCAGAACATCCTACAATGTTTTCAAACTTTAAAAACGGAATAACCCGTGCGCAGCGATCTAAACCCTGAATTGTACGCCTAAGAATTGGCGTATTGATTAAGTAATGGCGAGGAGATCGGCGAGGTATGATTTACGCATGGCACGAAACTTGAAACTCAAACTGTTCGTCTTATTGGATAAGGTGAACGGACCCGATTTGCAATCTCATTACCTATCCCCAACATTTTTAAACCAATTTAAATCGACAATATGTACGCAGAAAAGCGTACATAAAAGTAGATGCTCTTTTGTGCGAACGTGGTCCTCTCCAAAAGGCCTCCTTTGTTCCATGAGTGCGTGATTTGACCCAACAAACATCAGTAAACTAAAACAATACGGACACTTACCACATATACACGAATAATGCATTAAACTAAAACTGTGCGGACACAACGAAACTACAGTTATAAATATCGCCAACTACGATGTACACGAAAAATACATATGAGTAAAACTAAACGGACAATTAGCACGTGTACGCCGAAAATACATCAAACAAAAACTGTACGGACGCTCAATTAAACTACAGCTACATATACGGGCACATACCCCATGTACACAAATAATACACATACACTTCACCAGGAGACTTTCCTCGTGCAATACTTACCGGCGCTTTGCTCAGCACCAATCAGCGAGAGATCCCACACCATCAGACGCCTGTCTGAGCCACTGGAGGCCAGGATGGTTTCGTGGCGGGGGGACCACGCCACTTGCACCACCTCTGTGGAAGGGATGTATAGGGTTTAGGGTTTAGGGGTTAGGGTTTAGGGGGTTTTTAGGATGGCAAGTTCTGCCATGATGTATAGTGGTGTGAGCACAAAACACACAACGACACACGTGAAGCCTATGCATCGACTAAATGCACCAGTAAAATTGGTATAATAGACAGATACTGGCTATAAGGGGTTTTATATGCCTACGGTAGCCGTATCCTATAGACACGCATAGAAAGCCTTAATTGTCTGGGTAGTATTTGCTTCCGTGGTTGATATGCCTACGGTAGACGTATCCTACAGACACGCATAGAAAGCCTTAATTGTCTGGGTAGTATTTGCTTCCGTGGTTGATATGCCTACGGTAGACGTATCCTATAGACACGCATAGAAAGCCTTAATTGTCTGGGTAGTATTTGCTTCCGTGGTTGATATGCCTACGGTAGACGTATCCTATAGACACGCATAAAAAGCCTTAATTGTCTGGGTAGTATTTGCTTCCATGGAAGTGCACACGTCTGCGGAGAATTACAGAATGGGGTGGGCAGAATACAGTCCATAGTGACAGTTGGCGAGCTACAACCAGAGCAAGAAGCAAATCTTCAAGATTCAAGTTCCAGCCTTGCGACCATACTTTGATTTCTCGTATGGTCTGATGGAGTTATATCATAAACTGACCCCACTCCCTAAATCCGTATAGTTTATGGTCAAGACTACGACAGTATCTGATCGTCTTCGATCCCCTAAACCCTAAAACCCTGATTTTCGTACTTGATTGACGCTGATAAATGCTTTCGCAGGGGTTCGTATGTTTGTCGCGACAGATAGAGGGCGAAAAAACCGATCCAGCACGCGACAAGCAGTAATTACTACATTTTTTTTTAAATGTAATTACAATCGTTGTGTAGTTGCGATGAACTGCGACATACAAAGTATGTAGAAATACAGATATGGGTCGGCAAAGGTACGAATCTGGATCGGTGTTGGTGCACATTGGTAAAAAACGATGCTACAATACCAAAACGAGTACTGAAAGAAACAGACATACAATTAGCAGAGGTCCGGCTTTTAGAACTTAGGTACGAAACCCTAGACGGTCGATCACTAATGGTCGCGGCACACTTCTCAAACAACAACAAACAACAGATACGGCAAGAACAAATCCGACTTACCATGAGCACGAAATAAGAAAATAGCAAACTAACCACAGTTCATCTCAACCGCAATTAAAACGGATACGATTAGAACTACCCCAGACTATTAAAAACAATAGTACTCAGCCAACAACGTTGGTAGATAAAATTAGAGGGAGTACATACACAAGGGCAAACTGGTGCCTGTAATGATCCACTGCATGCGGAGTGATGAATTGAGTGACCGCAAGCATAGCACCTAGACACATACGAACTAGAGCTCCCATTTATAAAGATGATAGCACAACAAGTACAGACAGATGCAGTTACGAACCAAGAAAAGTTGAACCATTCGAATAATATCCACCCCGAAGATAATGAAATAGAAGCACTTATCCTAACAAGTACAAACATTGATGGCCAAACATCCCAACCAATGCTCAACGTCAGAGGACTAACGGATCAATTAGAGCTCCACTCCACATTTGCATACCGTCGATGTGCGATAATGTATGTAAGCTCTTCTTTAGGTTGCGGATGTCCCAGATTGCCGCCGTCTGAATATAGATAAAATATTTACATAGCAACAGAGAGTCAATTGCTATGGAAACAGAACAAAGCGGTGAACACCCCATCGGATGTTCAGTTTAGTCTGCTCGCACTTGCTAAGAAGATGCGCGTGAAAAAAATACCTGACTGCCTGTCACTGTGAATGTATATGATAACATTCATACACAGGGAAGTACAGTGGGTACTGTTCTATCTGGCGCTGTTACTTTGTATGACAACACCAATACATATAGAAGTACAGTGAGTGCTGGGTTGAGAAAGAAATTGATAAGAGGGTTTTCCCATTAAACTATAGCAGGTTGCAGAGACTATGAAGATTGATAAACACAACCAAATAACTGCAGCATGCACGCACGCACAGGGGTGTATAGCGGACTATAGGTAAGACTTGCCATATCTAACGACCATGTAGTCACAATAGAGGCATATAGGAGCGTACAAGTACGCTATGAAAAGACTATAAGACTTGCCTTATCTACCGACCCTGTGGCCACGATGAACTCGTTGAAGGGATTGAAAGCTAGACATGTTACTTCGGCTGTATGGACTGTGGCTGAGATTACTGGCGCAGCGCCATCTTCCCTATCATCCCATCTGTCACAGAAGCGGCACATGAGAAGGTGAATTAATATGAGGTACAAGTTATTGTACTAGATACGACGGCGAGCGATGGCGAGCAAATGAATAT